TAAAATACCTAAATTCTCCTGATTAATCCTATTTCTTTAATGTATTTAACAATAGCACCATATATTTTACCTTGTTCTGCATGCTCTTTCTAAAGGCTTGACAAATTAAACGATTCAACACCCATGTTTCTTACTTCCTTAATGAGATTTAACCTTTCTTTTCCATATTATTATTATAATTTTTGTGGCTAGTAGACTTAGATTGTATTTGAAAATATAAATTCTCCCACAGGGAGCGCACTCTGGCTCATAAACATTATAGTGTAAATTTATGTACTTTATAGGCGTTTTAGGCTGTTTTGAGATATTTGAAACGTGCAAATAATATATATGGATATAATAAATTGGTTAGCTACTATATATATCACTTATATTCACTTTAGTAACTGTGATCAATCTGGTGGTTATCATATAGAGTTTCGGTAGTAAAAAAGGTGCTTGTTGTGGCTCTTTGTGAAGATGTGAGCAGCATATTAGATAAGATATTTGCACTGTACAGGTAGCTAAACACTTTACAATAAGGTTCCATAAGTATATTTAACGCATTAACTAACAATAATGAGCAATGCATTGTTACAGTAGCTATTTTAATCTTTTTAACATTAGTTAATAAAAATACAGCTGTTTATTGTTAGTCTCATTGTCTGATTCTCATTGTTAATATCTCATTCTTAACTTAGGTCCATTAAATAACATTAATAGATGCAAGTTCATTTTAATGATGTATTAGTAAATATTGGAAAGAAGTATTTTTCATTGTTAGTTCATGTAGTTAACTAATGTTAACAGAACTTTATTAGCCTATATAAAGTGTTAGGCCTACCACTGTACCTCATAAAATATGGCACAATGACAGAATGGGCAGGGGTAAAAAAGAGAGCAAAATGTATTAAAGATGCACTCATAAATGTATGTGTTGTGCTGCATAATATGAGATTTGTCTTAGACTTTACCTATAAGCTAAAGGTTTCACGTGCCACTGCTTGCCAATGCAATTACAGAACATAACATCATAATGACTGGTACAGTGTTTTTAGATATAAAAAAAGCAAAATAACTATTGCAGTGCTGCAAAACGAATAACTTTTAAGAAAAGCAATATATGTGATATGTGAGCGCTTTTATGCCAGTGTCACCTTCTTCCTGTGAAATATGCAGAACAAAAAACATGGTTTAATGAACTGGCCATTAGGTGGCGATACTGGCACATTTCAAAAATATGCTTCATTTTTATATATTTGGTAAAGGCCAAGGGACAAATCCCACGGTTATGCAACAGAAAATTAACTAGCATGCAGAACAGTACATTTTAAACACACCAGATGTAGTCTGTTCAAAGACTAAAAATTCACCACAAAGACCAAAATTACACAAAAAGTACGCTTTCAATAGGAGCATGGTCCTCCATCCTGTTTGGTGCTGCTTGTCAGACTTCGTAGGCCTATGAATACGACAGGACTGGTAGAAAAAATAATTTGTTACTTAAGCAGTGTTCTGGACATACCTGAACAACGAGAATAAAACTGTATTATGTAAATCATGTTATGTGAATGTAAAACCTTCATAGCATAACTTTGAAAATTAGCTTAATATTAGTACCAATAGAACAATTTCATTAAACAAAATGAGCAATGTTAGAAATGATCAATACAGATGATTCAGGAAAATGTGGAATGTGTTATATGACATCTAAACATTATTTTCTTTCAACTCTACACTCATTACAGTGAAGGAGAAATTGCCTCAGTTTTAACCCCTCAAGTCTCAAATCAGCCAGACTCTTTGTCTGTGTAGGTATGTGTGGTCATTGAGCCCATATTTGGTAAGCATCTTCTCTGCTTCACAAAATTTATTTCTGTTTCGCAAGATAATGCTGTACTTTACATAGGTTTTATATTTAGAAAATTTGCCTATTAATTCTTATATAATATTTTTATTAACTATTATAATAGGTTCCAGTCAGCAGTGCTTTTCTGAAAACGAAACATAAATGTTTTATGGCAGTGTTTCATAGAATGAAGACATATCTGCTTTACTGTGAGTGTCTCGTAAATATTTTGTTTGACCATGTCTTACAGGAAAAACTGCTTTATTGTATGGTGACAAAACTCAACCTCAGACAATAAAACTAAGCCTGACAATACAAAATGTTCAATGTTATGTCACATAAAAAGTAAACTTATTGTAACCTTTCACAAAAGGGCACATCTAAAGTGCAAACTGATTAAATTGGGGTGGAAAACAGCTCTCCAATCAGAGAGTTCAAATTACAAACATATTTAAATTGTGTCACTCAAAATGATTTACAGAAGTACATTCAAAATCTCTCTCAACAAATATTTTGTACAGTTTGCACATTCATATAATTATTTTTGCACCCTATATGGCAGTGGTTTTTAATCCTGGTCTTCCTTACACACTTGATTCAGATCATTGACTCATCAGCAGAGAGCTTTATCAACCAAACTGAGCGTGTCAGATAATAGAGGCATACCAAATGTGCAATGGGCCCCCAGGACCAGGATTGAAATCACTGCTATATGATATTAAGAGACATTTACTATTGTTGGTCACTGGTTTGTTATGGCCAGGATGAACGGTGGTGCAGGTAAGAGTCCATCAGAGCTGTAGATAGGGCAGGCTTTAAATTTACAAGGCCAGTCTGTCCAGAGATAACGCACTGCAGTAATATCAGCAGCTGGACATTTTGGTGTAGATACATGAACATAATTAATGCCATGTTTTACAATGACAACAGGCAACCATTTGTCATCTGATTCACACGTCTTATCCTCAGAGCAGCAGATCTATGGTAAAAAAAAGATAAAAATGAAAACATTATCAGTTAGTCAAGGTCAGTTCAAAAGAAGCATTCTCACTTCAAACTTAAAACTGGCCTTTGTTTGAATGTATATTTTTTAAAATCATAATTTTCAAATTGAATGAACGCATGTGAAGGTGACCTTACCTCAAAAAAATCATCGGCAATGGCACTAATACCCTGATTGAACACAATGCAAATGAAATCCTGTTTGAGCATGGCACGAGTAGGGAAAGGTCCTTGGAAAGATACATTTTTCTCCCCATAGGCGACAGCTCTTGCCCCAAGCACAAGTCTGTATGCCACGTCCTGTTTATCCTCCGGGTGGATACTATTATACCCCCACCCCCACCAAAAAAACAAGCAAATCAGCACTTCCATTAAACTATTTGAATAACACTTTAACTACAGTTTGTGCTCCTCCTCACCTGCCCCAGGGGGACCTATCATCAGGTACGTCAATAGCAACAGCCATAAAGGTGTTCTTCATGCGCTCATTAGGGGCATAGCCATAGTCTGCGGTCTGATGCCAGCGTATTTCTCTGAACCCATCTTGTGGATCGTTTTCACGATATGTGCTTAGCTAGAAAAGTAAATGGAAGTACAATTTGATGTTTAAGTATTGATGATACATGGGTCTTGTCAAAAGTATTGTTAAGATATATCTCTTAAATTACTGACTATTCAGTGGCACCTGTACAAATCCAAATGGGAAGTCTAGTGGAGTCTGGCCATCTGAGCCTTCATGGAAAGCCATCCTCCAGTCGTCAATCATCACAGGGAAAGTGCAGTTGTATTTATCCCTGTTATAGTTTGTATTAGCCTCACCTGAGATAAAAAGCAAAGTAAAAATAGCAAGTCTTTGCATGTTATAATTGATATACAGCGCTATAATTCTTCACCTGAGAATTAATACCTTGGTACCATATGGCTCCTGTTATGGTCATGTTGAGTAATGGATGAATCATGGCATTCCAGAGCATTGAACTGTCCCATTTAGCAGAGGCGTTCTCCAAGACGTTAGTGTCTACAGGTAAAACACTATGGGGAATAGTGCAGGAAATTCCGGTACAGAAGATAAACATGTAAAATGAGAAGTAATTCAACTACTGTACTGCACCAACTTTTTATTTATTATTTTTTTTACTTATGTAGGTCAATGATGTATAAGAGTGTATAAGAAAAAGAAAATTAAAAATGTCATTCTTGGGAACATACTAGCTACTTGTTACTACTATGCACTACTTGTTATACTACTTTTTGGGTTCATATAGTTTAAAAAAAACTGTTATATTATTTCCAGAAACAGATTAAATTGAATCATCATGCAGTGCATCTTTACATCTCGAATACATGAGTGTGCACATCTTAATCTTTATTAAACATATTTCCCAAGGTAGGTTTTTTTAATCACAAATTATTTTTAAATCTGATCGTACCTTGCCTAGTCATAAAATGTTCAAATTATATGATATTTTTACATACTTATTGACCTTTACACAGTCATAATGGTCTGCAAGGGTCCTTTTTCATATATATAAAAAGGAAGGATTAAATATTATGCTCATTTGGCTGCATACTGTAAAAATAGTAATATTGTGTAATATTACAATTTAAAATATCTTTTCTATTTTAATATATTAAAAATGGCATTTATTCCTGTGATGGCATACATTTTCAGCAGTCATTAATCCACCAGTGCGATATGATGTTTCAGAAGTCATTCTAATATACTGATTTGATGCTCAAGAAACATCTCTTATTATTATCAAATGATGAAAACAGTGCTTCTTAATATTTTTGTGAAAACTATTTTTTCAGGATTCTTTGAAAAAAAAAGAAAGTTTAAAAGAACAGTATTTGAAATAGAAATCTTAATACAGAACATGATAAAGTATTGTAAGTACTGGCATTGTACCTGTTCACCAATCCACACTTATGAAGTGCCCTTGGGGATGACCAGGCCTCCACAGGTGTGCCTCCCCAACTTGAGTGTACTAGCCCTATTGGATACTTCAGTGTTTTGTAGAGATAGCGACCAAAGAGCCAGCAAACTGCAGAGAAATGGCTGAATTTCTTTCCGCCAAGCAATTCTTGAACAATGAAAACAAAAAAAACAACAACAAGAACAGCTGCTTATTTCTTCAGGAAAAAGTATGTTATGCATACATTTTACTAACAGGTTTTCACTGTCCTCTGGAGACAAAAACAGATTGGACATCACCCTTAAGATAAAACAGGAATGCAACAAATATCTCATTAGCTTGTGTTTCAGACCATATTCCATACCTGCTGTTGGCAGGGACCAAGGAACTTCCACTCTTGCAAGATCAATTAGTTCCTCATCACTCTGCTCCAAGGCAGCCTGGAAGATCCTCACATCAGGGAACTTAGAAGCCAAGGCCAACTCCTTTGTTGCATTAATCACCTTTCGAAGAACAAGTGACATTCATGTGTATTACATCACACATGAAAATAGAGGAATAAGCATATCAAAGACTTTGAGTTAAGAGATATTCACTTACTTGACCAACAGTGAATGCCATGTTACTTTGTCCGCTACATAACCAGGTGTCTCCAAAGAGCACATCTGTGAGTGTGATTGAGCTATTAGTTGTACTCTGAGATGCAGTCAATATGTAGGGACCACCAGCCTCCATAGGTTTGAGAGTTGTGCGCCAAATACCTGTGAGACATTAAAGTCAGAATGCACCGTTATTGTACTGAATTCTTTCAGGATATTAACTAAATGATAAATTTTTCACAGAAGAACCTAAGTCATACAAGGTTTGAAATGACGAGCGTCTGAGTAAATAACAGAATATACTGTACATTGTTTGATGAACTCTTCCTTTAAAGCAGACTTCACTGGAAAATATTATTTGTGTAACTGATACTTACCATTGATAACAGTAGTAGAGTGTGCAGAGACTTTGTGAGGTCCTGACAATGACACCACAACCTTGGCACCTGTCTGTCCAAATCCCCACACGACTGCTTTGGCTGGGGCCTTCTGCAGAACCATGTGGTTCCCATAATAAGAAGAGAACCGAAACACTTCTGCTGGGAATACAAGGAAATGAGATTAAGCTTTATGATACGATTGTTTTGTAGTGATGGGGAAATCCTACTGATTCATGTGACTTGATTCTGCAAACAGTTCATTTCAAATAATCCAGGCGTTTGAAGGATGCATCCGGCAGTAGACCTTAGCTGCCACGTTATTAATCGCCATCGAAGGCCATCTCAATTTGAAGGATCCTTGGAAGGCAGCCTTTGTTTTGCGTCCTTCATTCAGCATATCTTCAGGAATGAATTAAGTGCATCATTCACATCCACCAATCCTTTCAATATATTTCAGTTATATATTCCAACATTTTGATAAAAGTGGTTTCCCACACTTTTAATTGTATTCTAATGCCATGACCACAGGGCGGAAACCTTTAGGATGTAGCCAAGCAGACTTATGTGTCTTTCAGGTGGAGTCAGAAATATTGTAATTACGAGTTCAAAGCACATGACTGATGGAGTGAAATTGTATTTACAAGTGAGAATCACGGAACTCTAGATGATACATAAGTCGCTGAGTTGTGATGGAAGGGGCCTGTTGAACTTGAAACATTGTGGAAACATTCATCTATAATACAGAGAATATCATATCTATATATCATCCAGTGAGCAATGAGCAGAAAGAAAATCTACATTGAATCATAGCAAGTTGTTGAATTTATTACATTTTGAATTTATTTGATTGAAATACAGCATAAAAAATTATTTTCATCATTTTGAACTATAAAAATATTATAAACCATAACAATGTACCCAACATAGTTGATGGGCAATTAATAATAATCCTTGACAATAGGTCACTTAAGATCAAATACCGAAAAATGAAGAGGACATTTACCGTAACGTGTTCAAAATGCCACAGAACAAAATTACATCCCATGGTCACAAAGTTTTATGATAAACTGTTTTTTTTTTTTCAGGAGAGTGGTTGGTTAGTAAAATAGTTGACATCATTTTTGTGGACATGAGTAAACGAAATAGTTTCTAATTTAAAAGAAAATTCCATTTAAGCTCTATTTTTCTAAGGTATTTAGATTGTACAAAATAACTGTAATACAGATAAAAATATTTTTAACATTGTCCCATTGGGACGCGTGGCCTTTTGATATGAACAAAACATCACTTTTGTATTTTCCCAAAATGTGTTGCTCCAGTAATGTTCATGTCTTCTTGGTTTTTAACAGCGGCTGGCACCAACGCAAATAGGTGCATTACAGCAACCTTCTGCTCCAGAGTGTGGAACAGAGTTTTAAATTCTATTTAACAACCCCGTCTCTCTTATAAAATCAAATACTTTACAATTTATTTCACTTGCCCATTTTATTAAAACCTTACAATTAAGATCCTGAATTCCATTTTTTCTTATTTCTACTATCATTTCTCCTCTTTCTTGTTCATATTTGCTACATTCAAGAAATACATGAGGTATTGTTTCTTCAACATGACATTGTTCACATAACCCATTTGGATGCTTCCTTGTTATTTCAAAAAAAAAAAATCTTTTTTTTTTATTAGACATTAAAGACATAACATGCAACATTCACAACTTTAACAAGACATCCAAAAATATAACACAATTAAAGGAAGGGGTTTACATTACATGGAAAAAAATAAATAAAAATCAAAATCAATAATAATACTTAAAGAAAAAAAAAAGACAGCATATACCCGTTCAATTTTCAAGTAACTTCAACTTTTTAGCGAATAAAATTGTATCTCTACATTTTTTGTTATTCAATACATTTGAGAGACTCAAAATACAAATGAAAATCAGTCATAAAGACCTTCAAACAGGGTTTAGAACTATTTCTTTTACTTTTATGAATATGAAATTTACCATATAAAATCATTAGATTCATCATAAAATTGACAGATGCATTTTTTGATTCAAAATATAAGATAAACATCTTTGGATGTTAATTCACAATTATAACCAGATTTCTGTTGAATATATATAGATAAATCTTACCAGAATTTTTTGGAATGGTAACATTTAAAAAAAGATGTAGAATTCTTTCTGGCTGATCTGAACAAAATGAACATTTTTCATCAATATCCATAAATTTTGATAAATTATAGTTACTAACATAAATATTATGAAGTGCTTTCAGATGTATTTCCCGAAGTTTGTTAGATATACAAAACCGAAAGGGAAGAAGCCAAGCTTTTTTCCAAATAATCTCTGGAAAACAAATGTTCCAGAAAAATTTCCCTCTAGGCTTAATAGATCTCTTTTCATAAAATAGATTTCTAATAAATTTATTTGTGCATTTTTTACTGTTAATGTCCACCCCATTTAAATTAAGAACAGGTTCAATTCTACAAATGTTAAGGGACAACATATAGCTTCTCATTAACATCAATAAACCTGTGGGAATGGCGTTTATCACAGAATAATATTCTCTATATTTAATAGGAAATGCCCATTTATTCATAAAATTTTCATAAGAAAGCAACTCAGCTGACTGATTAAAAAGGTCAGATAAAAAATAAATTCCTTCATCCATCCAACTCTGTAAATAAAGAGATTTCCGGTTAACTAATTCCTTTATCCATCCAACTCTGTAAATAAAGAGATTTCCATTTTTTACATTATTCCACAAGATTGCTTTATGTGGAGAAAAGTTATGCACATAACTTCCAGGCCTTGAGAGCTTGTTGATAGAAATGAGATAATGCCACAGGCAGTTTGCTAGTCGAGTAATCACACATTAACATCCTTGTTATTTTAAGAGTGCTATGTATGCAGTGTTGCCAACTAATTTTCAGGGGAAGTTGCTAAAGGAAGATTGATTTGTTGCTAAAAGTTGCTAAATGACGCGGTGACGTCATTGCGTAATCACGATGCAAAATTGTGTCTGCATCAAATCTCAGCAAAAAAAACCAAATTTAAATATGTTAATTTAGATGTGTTTATAAAATAATATAAATGCATAATATAATATTAAAATATAAATAGCTAATTTTAAATACAACATTTAATTATTTAACACTTTCACATTTTTTTAACAATTACAATTTAAGTTTATTTTTATTAGCTAGTAAACTAGTAAAACTACTCATTCTGAACGATTATAGATTTAAGCAGTGTATTAGTAGTTCGTATGCTACACTCTAAGAAAAGTCTGTAAAAATAGGGCAAAATCTATTAATATGAAGGAATTTTCCATAATTATTATTCACACGTTTTTTTACCTACATTTTAAATTACGCATTGTATTTTGTGTTTTCGGGTTACAGGGTTTGCTAGGTGCCTTTGGAAGAAAAAGTTGCTAGGGTAGTCTGAAAAATTGCTAAATCTAGCAACAAAATTGCTAAGTTGGCAACACTTGTATGTATGGTCATGTCTTTACGTCATGACGCTAATACGTCAACACGTGATCCATAACAACCCCGCGTGACATGCTGTAAACACATTGCATAAAGTCATATGTAAGCACATATTACGCGTTTTGCTAACACTTATAAAAACAAGACATTTTATTTTTTGGCTTTTCTGCTATCTGGCAATTAATGTAAGTTATGTTCTGCTTTCAGTCAAATCACTGGATCATTCCAAATGCTTATAATAAGCTCATGCATCGGTTCTCAGCTTATTCATTCGCTTAACAGAACAACAACCACCACAACTACATCGATGCTGCCTCGCCGCATTGCACTTCAGTCAGTCTGAATTTCACATTATGTAAATTTGCACGACACGTTTATGCTTAACTATTTCCTTATTGCTTTCAACCTCAAAAAAACTATTCGTACAGCGTCTGCAAACATGCACATACGCTTATCAAAACCTCGTTGTTAAAAATATATATTTATTTAATGTAAATCACTGTATATCAAAAAGTACTGACTTACCTGCCGATAAAACACTGGCAAATGCACTCAAAAGTAGCGAGAAAGTAACCGTCGTCAGCATCTCTGCAAGTGATTGAAAAGAAGGAAGTGCATTTACTTAAAGCAGGCAATGCAGGCAGCGTTTACCTCATGATTCAACTAAGTTGTCAAACCGGTCACTTAAACGGGTCATATGATGTTGCTAAAAAGAACATTATTTTGTGTATTTGGTGTAATGAAATGTGTTTATGCGGTTTAAGATAAAAAAACATTATTTTCCACATACTGTACATTATTGTTTCTCCTCTATGCCCCGCCTTTTTGAAACGCGTCGATTTTTACAAAGCTCATCGGTCTGAAAAGTGAGGTGTGCGCTGATTGGCCAGCTATCCAGTGCATTGTGATTGGCCGAATACCTCAAGCGTGTGACAGAAATGTTACGCCCCTTACCATACTGTGATGCCCTGCCCGGCCGGAGCGACGAGACAAAAACATTAAAACCCATTATAAAAGAGGCATTTGTTGCATCCAGTGGGGACATAATTACGGATTATAATGACTTATACTGTCTTTCTACGCGTTGCATTGCATCGCATCGCGCCGCATAAACATAAAACCATGTCTGCATTGTGATCGGAGAAATGACAAACAACAAGCCCTACTCTACACTGCTCAATACTCGCGTTTGAATCTATAAAGTATAAAAACTCTTTAAATATAAAAGACGTACTTACAGTCTTTGAGTCAGAACAGCCGGCATTGTAGTCTACTCTTCCAGGATTAGGAAACAGTCCTCCATAAAATGTGCTGCACACATCTGAATATTTGGGTTGAACTGTTCTGGAACAGTGTTGTAAATACAACTTAACCACTGATTTC